ATTTAATAAATAATATACAATAAAAAGAAAAAAAATATGTATATAAAAATTCCATATACAATAAAAAAAAAAAAAAAAAAAAAAAGCAACATATAAAAAATATGATCCAAAGATTGATTCCTATGATTTAAAAAAGGAAAGATCATTATCTATATGACCCTTGTTGAGGGGGATGGTGTTAAAAAGTCATGATTTTTCATAAACATTTTCAACGTAAAATCACATATAATTATCTTATCGTGTTCAACTCACTTCATAATGGCGCTAATTAATGATTTAATTATTATCCTAATCGTATTATTTTGTATTCCTAAGTTCTCATAACATTAAACTTTAATATAACGTGATAGAAATTAATCATTTTTATTATACAGCACTTATCATTTTATATATAATATTTATATATGTATATATGTGTGTGTATGTGTTTAAATAGATATAGTTCATAGTAGTTTGGTTATGCGAGAAAAAACATTAAAATCAATTATTCATACGTAACAGTATGGCCGTCGTTTCGCGGTACTTTTACGTACATATGTAGATACATGTATTATACATACAAGTAATGCAAAACCAAGAGAGAGAGAGAGAAAGAGAGAGAGACAGAGCAGAGAGAGAGGGAGAGAGAGAGAGAGAGAGAGAGAAAGAGAGGGAGAGAGAAAATTGGTTTAATCTTGGAACTTGTAGGCCAGGAGCTCCCCGTGGTCCTACTTTTACATCGCAAATGGCGATCTCCGTGTATAAGATACATTATATACTATGTATATAAAATATAGACGGATATGTGTATAATATATCGGACGGATAAGACACATGATACGATGAAGTTAAGTTAGCTTTATCGATTTTCGCGGAAATAATCGAGTGGTACCTTTTATCATTCGAAGTAGAATGATTATACGGTGAATTGAGACGAAAAAAATACAGTTATATTAAGAGGAAAAAAAAAAAGGAGTAATGAAAAGATGAAAGAAACAGGACCAAAAAAAAATTCCTTTTTTTTTTTTCCTTTTTTTTTCTTTTTTTTTTTTTTTTCTTTTTAATTGTAATAAACAAGTTAAACGCATTACAGACGAGAGATCTCCTTGCTTTTATAATTATGTTATTGCTCGTATTTTTTTTACTACGTGATCTTTTTCTCTCTCTCTTTTTTTTTTTTTTTTTTTTTTTTTTTTTTTTTTTTTTTTTTTTTTTTTTTTTTTTATCAAAATGACTGTCGAACCATCCTGTATATTATTTCCAAAGAATTATACGATTAGATCTAATTATATCGATTAGATATTGTACGTATATTTACAAATATTTCAGATACGCATTAAAAGGTATTTAGTTTTTTCTTATCACTTTTTACTAATCACATAACCTATACACATTACATGCGCACACACACACACACGCGCGCGCGCGCGCATACATTTTCTTATTTTATCGATATAAATATCTCATTATATGTAGATATAATAAATATGTAATTGTAGATATTTTGTACATTATAGTGTTTAAAGTATCAAATTCCTTATTGCCTATTACTAATTAATAATGGTAATATCTAACTAATAGATAATAAATTAAACATTTATAAATATATATTATAAATGCAATATACATATTTTAAATTTCGTATATTCTCAATAACTTTCGAAACGTTTTAACGTTTGAAATATAAACTTTAATAATTTATATTTTAATATTTCAAATACGATAAGATGGCGAAATGTAGCGATTATGGTACTGTAAAAGAGGAACGAAAGTGAAGGCAAATTGAAACTTTCTTATTCGATATTTTGAAGTCAGATAAAAGAGAGAGAGAGAGAGAGAGAGAGAGAGAGAGAGAGAGAGAGAGAGAAGAGAAGATATTCGAAGTGTTAATTAGTTGGTTAATTATAAATATCCGGTTGGAAGAGGAAAACGAGTTCTTCCATTTTTTCCCTCTTTTTCTCTTCCCTCCCTCTCTCTCGCCCTCTCCCTCTCTCTCTCTCTCTATCTCTCTCTTCCTTTCTTTCTCTATTTCTTCAGAAGCAAGCAACCAATGTAATTTCGTTTTTCCATTAAAGCACGTAATTGGTAAACTCTTAGATAGACTCTTAGTAATGAACATTAAGATTAGAAATAAGCCAATGTAAGTACGTATGTAAGTATATACCCCCTATCTATGTACTTTATATATAAATATATATATATATCTATATATATATTTATATATATATATATATATATATCGAAAGGAAATTAATTATCATCGTTCCGACGAAGAAACTTTTTGAAACCATTGTCTTGTGCCTTAATAAGAGAGAGAATCAGGATCTTTGAAGGAAAATGAAAGGAGAGGAAAAAAAAAAGAAGAAAAAGAAAATACAACAAAACTAAATAGAAATGAGATGAAAAGAGAAAAAAAAAAAAGAAAGAAAGAAAGAAAGAAAGAATGAAAGAAAAGAAAAGAAAAGAAAAAAAAAAGAAGGAAAAAGAAACAAAAAACGACGACAAGAAAATAAAACACGCGCAATGAAAGATATAATTAAAAAAAAAAAAATAAATAAAAGAAAAAGGAAATTAATTTTTCTCTCTAACTTCTCCAATGACGTTTCCATGACTCCTCGTTATTTACGAGTTGAAACTATGATTTTCCCTATTATACATACATACATATATACATATATATATATATATATATATCTATATAGATATATATATATATATATATATACACATACACGCATACACATATGCATATATACATATATATTGACAGAGTGAATGCAAGTATATAGATTATCATGTATCCTACATACATCGTATCCCCGACCGATAAAGCGTGAAAATTTAAAAGGACGCGAAAAGCGAACACGAACAAGATCAATTTCAATAGACTGACTATAAAAAGAGAAAAAAAAGTATGCGAGCGGGCGCGTACGAGCGAGAGAGAGAGAAAGAGAGAGAGAGAGAATGTATATATATTCTCGAAAATGAGAACACTCTGATAACAGCTTTCGTACAAAAATACATTTTATTCAAAGCAAGTTGTCTATTTCGCTAAGAATGTCTCTAATGTTTGACCTTGAAACAGTACATTATATCGAACGTTAACAACATGATCGTTATATTATTCGTATAATCTTAGGAATAATAATATTCCTAAGATTCGATCATTATTATAGAACGTCGAGTAAACTAAAATATAATAAATTGTGAAAGGACGATGTTGAAAGAGAGACTTTTTAATATTTATTTTATTTAATAATTTTTTTCCCCCTTAATAATTATTAAATTATTTCGTATAATATTCTGTGCATGTGTATGTGTCTCTCTATGTGTATATATATATATGTGTGTGTGTGTAATATTGATTCGGTCAAAAAAAAAAAAAGAATTGATTGAAATTTTTAATACATAGCAGAAACAAAAAGTCCATATGTATATATATATATATATATATATATATATATATAAATCCATCAAGTACAATTCTTTCTCGAGATTTCATTTTCACCATGTATAGCTACGAGAGAAAGCTTGTACATGGACTTTTTCTGTCCGTTTTTTTTTCTTTTTCTTTTGTTCTTCTTTTACTATCGGAAAAAAATCAAGAGAAAGAGAAAGAAATAAAAAAAAAAATAAAAAAATAAAAAAATAAAAAAAAATAAAAGAAAAAAGAAATAAAATTAGCCTAAATAGTCTCGTGGGTGAGAAAAAGAGTGGGTGAGTCGATCGATCTTTTTTCAGAGGAAAAAAAAAACACACACACACACAAAGAAACAAAAGAAAATAAAAGGAAACAAAAATCACCTGAAAAACTTTGCTATGATACGTATTAAAAAATTTGCCATTACTTATCGTAAAATCCTACACTTATGTACATACATATATCTCTGATAAAACTAAATTCTTAGTCAAGAGATTTTGGATAGTATATCCAATCGATCAAGACACATTCTAGGACACTGCGGCAGTAACCATGCGTCTACTTAACGTTTCCGGCTTTGTCGAAAAGTTCAATGACCCTTCCTACCACCCTTTTAAATCTTTAGGCTTAAATATCCTTCCTTTCACAGGCATGTAAAAAAAAAAAAAAAAAAAGAAAAAAAAAATGAATCACTTGTATTCTACGACTTTCACATAAGATTTTCAAGTATTCCTCATCTTTGTCTTTCAGTTTCGTTTTTTTAATCGTACCAGTAAAAAAAAAAAAAGAAAAAAAAAAAAAGAGAAAAAAAAATCGACAACAAGTCAATTATTTCCAATTATCAAAGTTACGTTTCACATAATCTGACGAGTATCCTTCGTATTCCTTATCTTTGTCTATCTTGACGTAAAGAGGGAAAAAACCGAAAAAAAAAAAAAAAAAAACAAAAAATAAATAAATAAAAAGGAAACCATGAAATTACTTGGGTAACTTTATAACGAGGAAATTAAAGATTTCTTTACGATTAATAATCAAGATCACGCTCGATTATTCCCGTTTATCAAAGTTACGACGTTTCATCTAATCTTACAAATATCTGCTCGTACTCCTTATCTCCGTCTTTCTTGATATAAACAAATAGAAAATAAAAGAAAGAAGATAATGAAACGGAAATACAAAAATAAAAAAATATTACATATAAGTCAATAAGGAGACAATTAATTGGTCAATTTTTTTTTTTCGGCAAGTATTTACTTAACGATTGATTAATTGATTAATAAGATATAATCGTGTTATTAAATTAAAGAACTATTTCCATAGTAAAAATCTATTAAAGAACTATGTTCATAGTAAAAATTCATGTATAGAAATGAATAAAAAAAAAAAAAATTAAATAAATAAATAAATAAAAACAAAATTATGAGTGAGAATAAATGAGTGAACGAATGACTGAATGAATGAATGAATGAATGAATGAATGAACGAACGAACGAACGAACGAACGAATGCATGAATGAATGAATGAAGGATGAATGAATGAATGAGTGAGTGAGTGAGTGAGTGAGTGAGATGGAAATAGATACAGTGAAATAAGACATACCCCCGTTCGATCGGTCTTCGTAGCCATTGGCAAGGTGTTCATGAGAGTCCCTGACGTCGAGGCTGTGGATGGCCTTGGTAAGGCCGTAACAAGCAGAACCGCATTTCCTGTCTTCATCTACTATCGTTTCCTCAACGTTAACCTCAACATCGCTCCCATCACTACCATCTTCGAAATAACCACTCTCGTGTTCCGGATTTTTCATTTTGTTCGATGCTCCCCTTCTCTTCAACATATTTCGCCAATTCGAACTCCTTTTGACTCTTTTTTTTTTCTTTTTTTCTTCCTCTTGGCTCTTCTCTTGTCTCTTTTTCTCTCTCTGTCTCTGTCTCTCTCTATCTATCTATTTATCTATTTATTTATTTATTTATCTATCTATTTATCTCTCTATAATTATCTTCCTTCGTTATATTTTCATTACTCGATATTAGAACTCTTTAATCTTGTAGATACGTCACTGAGCAGACAGATGGCCGGTAAAATCGAATAATTAATTGCACTCTATAACGAATTAATTTATTAATAATCGAGTCATTCTATTTCTACTATTACTACTTTTTTTTCTTTATTTATTTCCTTCCTTCCTTCTTTCTTTCCTTTCTTTCTCTAGTTGATCGTTTTTCTCCTTAAATATATATAAACATGTATATGTATACACATATATATATATATATATTTTTTTATATATCTATATGTGTGTACGTGTGTGTTGTGTGTGCGTGGAATGATCAAAGAGACAAATTCGTTGGCGGGAAATTTGAAAATCGATAAAATCAATTTTTCTATTTTCTTTTCCCCGATTCCAAGGAAACATAGATTGTAGAAAAGAAAATAGCGAGCGAATCAGGGCGAGGGCTAGGATGGGGGTTGGAGGGTTGTGAGCGAAATAAAAGGGAAAAAGAAAGAAAGAAAGAAAGAAAAGAAAAAAAAAGAAATTATTATAAAGAAATTAATCGCACACCTCTATAAATCTCTCTTGTCCTAATTTTTTCTTCTTCTTCTTCTTCTTTTCTTTTGCTTCACGTGTCGCTTCGTATACGTGTACGATGTATTATTATTACTATTATTATTATTATTATTATTATAATTTTTTACTGATGTCACGCCTCTCGTCGATTACGATCATGACGCAACAACGTTATCCCTCTCTTTCTCGCGAAGGAACTCGCTCTTTTTCCGCCGTGACATCGACGTCGTGATTCTTCTTCTTCTTAAATCTTTCTCTTTCTTCCTTATCCCTTCTTCTTCTTCTTCTTCTTAAATCTTTCTCTTTCTTCTTTATCTCTTCTTCTTCTTTACGATGAAATGGCAAAAATGTTAAGAAGACACGAGAGATAAAACGAAGAAGGAAAAAGAAAAAAAGAAAAACTGTCTACGAGAAGAGAACGTGAAGAAGAACGGAATAAAGTAGAATAGAGTAGAGTAGAGTAGAGTGGAGTAGAGTATAGAGTAGAAGTAGAAGTAAAATAAAGTAAAGGTGAAGTAAAACTGAGCAAGCGAGCGAGCGAGCGAGCGAAGCGAGTTAGTGAACTGAACCGAACCGAAAGTGGGTGGTTGGGTGGTGGGGAAGGGGGAAGAGGCGAGGGGGTGGGGGGAAGAAATAAATGGCGAATTGAAATTCGATTCTAGACGATGTGGCCGAACGTGTCGTAACGAATTCTTTCTCGTTTCTTTTACTGTAACAAAATAGTAATAGCAATGGCGGTGATGTTGGTAGTAATAATAATAATAATAGTAGTAATAGTAGTAGTAGAAGTAGTAGTAATAGCGCAACAACAGCAACAGTAACACTAGCAGCTATAGTAATACTATAGCTGTAATGAGTACTAGTAGTAGTAGTAATAGTAGTAGTAGTAGGTAGTAGTAATAGTAGTGATGGTGATGCTGATAATAGTGGTAGTTATAAAGTTGTATATGTGATAGTAGTTCGTTGCCGACGTGTTCCAATTCCTTCGGACGTTATTTTGCCGTTTAAATGGCACAACACGCGACGAGAAAAAGGGAAAAAATAAAAAAACTCGTGTAAAAGTGTCGCTTCGAAGAGGATAAAGGGGGAAAAAAAAAGAAAGAAAGAAAGAAAGAAAAACGAAATATAGTTGCCGTTGGGGAACGACGAAGACGACTACGATTACGACGACTACGACGACGAATACGACTACGACTACGACGAGAGATGAGGTTGTGCTTCGTGCCTTCGTCGTTATCCTACTGACACACTTTCGTTGCGATGCTCGTTGCGCCGCTACGACGTCGACCGATCCAAGAGAAGATGGTGGTGGTGGTGGTGGTGGTGGTGGTGGTGGTGATGGAGGAGGAAGAAGAAGAAGAAGAAGGGGAGGAGGAGGAGGAGAAAGAAAAAGAAGAAGGGGAGGAGGAGGAGGAGAAAGAAAAAGAAGAAGAAGAAAAGGAGAAGGAGGGGAAAAAGAGGAAAAAGGTGGGGTATAAGAAGGAGAGAGGAATGAAGAGAAGAAGAAGTAAAAGGAGGAGGAGGAGGAGGAGGAGATAGAGGGAGGAAGAAAAGGAGAAGAGATTACACTGCAAGTACGATCTTTGACCTTGGACCTTCTCACAGATTTGTCATATAAATATACATACATGTACGATATTATTTCTCTCTCTCTCTCTTTCTCTCTCTCTCTCTCTTTTATTTCGACAATTTCTTACTTCTTATATTGGAATATTTTTTATCTCCTTTGAATTCTCTCATACAATCTTCCCGTTGGTCCACTGAGCTTTTATTTTTAACTGAGATACTTCTCTCTCTCTCTCTCTCTCTCTCTCTCTCTCTCTCTCTCTCTCTCTCTCTCTCTCTCTCTCTCTCTCTCTCTCTCTCTCACTTTGTCTCTCTATATCTCTTTTTCTTTCTTTCTTTCTTTTCGTTTTAAAGAGCTTTCATCAGGTTGTTTCATCTAATCCATATCAGAATGTGTTCTTATCGGTACTTTTCAAAGTACGTACATGTACTTATGCACGCACATGCGACACACAGACACAACGCACACACGCGTGCGCACGCACGCACGCACGCACGCACACGTACACGCACATACACACGCGCGGGAGAGCACGTAATCTCTTTTATAATCTATTCTTCCGGTGTTGTGTCTGGACAATCTAAAACTCTAAAGAAGTTGCTTTTATTTATTTCTCTTTTTATTTTTATTTTTCTTTTTCTTTTTCTCTTTATTTTTTTTTTTCTTTTTTTGTTAATATATATAGTGTATATATATATATATATATATATGTATATTATCTATATTAAGGCGCAACAAGACGGAAAGCCAATTGAGATTAAAAACCACGTTGGGTCACACTTTCGCTGACAACGACGATAAATAGGTAGATAGATATATTATATAGATGAAAGTTGTTGTAAGGCTTTTAAACACGTGCGCAATAATTCGTTCGTAAAAAGTTTGCCAACCTGTAAGCCTTCTAGGTATTCAGATATTATATTGAGATAAAAGGAAAGCAAGGGAGGGTGGCTGGGGAGTGAGGGGAGGGGGTGGGAGGGAAAAATTGCTAACCAACAATGATGGATGATGATATAGATGATAATGACGATGATGGATGATGGGATTGACAACGATAAATATAAAGAAGGTAAATATAATGTTTTTGTATGCGCGAACTACCGAACATACTATGCGTACCGTACGAAGGCTCGTTGCCGACTGACTGACTGACTGACGTCGTCCCTCTCCCTACCATCGAGAGCTGCCGCCGCCGCCACCGCTGCCACCACCGCTGCCGCCGTCGCCGCCGCCTCTGCCACCGCCGACTCAACGAGTCACCCTTCACCGCTTCGAGCTAACAGCTGATTTGGAAAACACCGAGGTCCGCTTCAAGGACGTATCTATGTTCTCCTGTCGCCCCGAACTTTATTTTCTATTTCTTTCTTTCTCTCTTTCTTTTCTTTTAGTTTTTTTTTTTCTTTTCTTTCTTTTATTTTTTTTTTCTTTTATTTCTCCTTACAACGTATATCATCGAGCATAAAATCGATGTTTCGAGACGCTCATCAATAATGACTCATACTGTAATATATTACGCGTAATTAAATTCGATATTTGTATTATACATGTTTTCTCATTTTTTTTTTTTTTTTTTTTTTTTTTTTTTTTTTTAATAATATCTCATTAATCTTCCTTTTTAACAGTTCCTCATATCATGGGGAATAATTATTAATTAATTTGTTTTGAACGAATTAATTTCTAATGATACTTCGTAGAACGTTTCCGAGTAAAATGACGAAATAAAAGTCACCTGTCCGCAAAGCGTGAATCTGAACGACGGCTTCGTACGTGTAGGATTAATGAACGTCGTTCGACGAATCCACCGGAGTTGTCCCCTCTTTACGAGCATCAGGCATGCAAAACGATTCGAAAGAACGGGATCGCCCCTTTTGTGTCTCTCTTATGTTGTGCATGTACACGTACGTGCTGTGTGAGAAACCTAAGTCCCTCTGCGATCGTGATTCTTTCATATTATATTTCGTGTCGCGAGATTGGCCATGAACGCGAATGAAATTTCAGAATAATGGAAGAAGAAGAGAAGTAGAAGAAGAAGGAGGAGAAGAAGAAGAAGAAGAAGAAGAAGAAGAAGAAGAAGAAGAAGAAGAAGAAGAAGAAGAAGTAGTAGAAGAAGAAAAGAAGAAAAAGAAACACGGCAACGAAGACGACAGTGTCGACACAACTAAGAGTCCGTGCCCTCGTTGCATAATTTGCAGCAATTTGCGAAGTGACAGTGTCGTACCAAACGGTGATCATATGTTTTTCATTTATTACAAAATTAGGTCATTATTGAATTATATCTTATATACATATATATTTATACATACATATATATATATAGATTTTCTTTTTTATGAAATATATATATATTTGTACATATAGTTTCTTTTATAAAATATATATATATATTTTTCTTTTAATGAAATATATATATATATTTTTTTGTTACGAAACATTTACGAATGAAACGATAATGCCGTATCTATAAATAAGACAAAACGATCTTTCTTTGTGACATTACTTTTAACGCGTTATAATTGTCCAAAATATAGATATTTAAAATACAATTGGAAACTTACAGTGCCGTATCTATAAATGTGTGACTACAGTTTATGACTAGCAATTTTTCTTTTTTTTTTTTTTTTTTTTTTTCTTTATCTCTTTTTATTATCAAAAATTTAATAATCAATAGTTTAATACGATGAATCAAAATAAAATAAAATAAAATAAAATGAAATAAACAAAACAAAACGATAACCAAAATTTTATATGACTCAAGAGAGATTTTCTCATCCGTCGTCGATAAATTCAGTTAAGTGAGGCTTGTATAAAAGCAGCACGAAAACGTTATCGTTAGGCGGGATAAACTGCGAAATCGAGTGGAACTCGATAAATCATGAAAGTATATGAAAGGCGTCGGTAGGGACACGTTCACGTTCACGTTCACGTTCACGTTCGTCGTCGTCGTCGTTGTCGTTGTTGTCGTCGTTGTTGTCGTCGTCATCGTCGTCGTCATCGTCGTCGTATAATTCGTCGTTGGTGAAAACACCGAACGGCACCAACCAGGGCCGTGTCCTTAGCATGAATATTCATTCACCCCTTCTTCCTGAACGAACATTACGAGGAACGATCTCGTCAGTCCTGATTAGGGTTCCCCTGTTCCTTCCGAGTGTCAAGTTCCCTGCCCTCCCCAGGTGGCCTCCAGGAAAACCACTTACATACACATGCACGAACGTTAACAATATACAAATACATATTAACGAAGGAAGTGAACAATTTTTGTTTTTGATTTTATTCTTTCACTTGCTTTTTCCTTCTCTCTCTCCCTCTCTCTCTCTCTTTCTCTCTTTCTCTTTCTCTCTATCTCTGTCTTTCTCTCTCTTACTCTCGAAAAATTTGCCTATGCGAGATTTGAAATTATTTTTTTCATAAATATTATTACTATTATTATTATTATTATTATTTGATTTTTTATTTTATTTTATTTTATTTTATTTTATTCTATTTAATACAATTAAATATCATTAACTTCTCATTCTTTCACTTTTCGAAAGCGCAATTTTTTCTTCCTTCTTTCCTTTCTCTTTCAAAATATTTATACCAGAATTGAAAATTATCTTTTGTTCACAATTATTATCGTTATCATTATTATTATTCTTTTTCTTTTTTCTTCTTCTTCTTCTTTATTCAACGAAATGAAATATCAATAACATTTTATTACATATCAAAAAAACAGTACAACGCACGTGCGTCATATTTTCGATTTAAAATTGCGTAATTCATTGCAATTGGTAGACATTCGAGTCGCGTAAGAACAATGGTTGAAAAAAAAAAAAAAAAAAAGAAAAGAAGAACAAAAAGAAAGAAAAAAGAAACAAACAAAAAAAAAAGAAAGCGTAGGGTCAATCGTAAATTTATAAATCGTAAATAATGGAGTGAGGGGTAGAAAAAAAAAACTAGAAAAAAAAAACAGAAAAAACAGAGAAATGAAAGAAAGAAAGAAAGAAAAGAAAACTGAAGCTTCTCGTTTAACAATCTCAATTGGGGATATCTGTTATTGGTGTCGGAATAATTGAGATAATTTGCCAGAGTGGAAACATCTACCTCCCCCCCCACTCGCTCTCTCTCTTTCTCTCTCTCACTCTCTCTTCCACATCATCATTTTCTCTTTTTCTTGGTGAACTTCGATATTTCGCTTCGTTTCTTTCCTCGATACAAATAATTTATTTAATTTCTGACGTATTCATTTAATAATAACATCCTATAAATATATATATATATATATATATATATATATATATATATATAAATCTTTTGAACGTTGAGCTTATTAATCAGTCAAGGTCAACCAACTGATGAATAAAGAATGCAAGAGGGAACAATTTTGTCATCAAATTATAATTTCAACGTTAAAACGTTGACGCACGATTTTGACTTATGCTACCTAATAATAACAATAAATATTATTATGGCTCGATAAAAAAAACTTATATGAATCGTCGTAATTAGATTTTAAAAATCATAGATATACGACGATTAGAATTGTAATGGTACAAGGAAGAAGGATTAGAATTAGTCAGAACAGAATTAGTCAATCCTATTTCACAGTCAATATATTATGAGCACTTTCACAGTCAATATATTATTATGAGACTTTCTTTTATAATATTATAAAGAGAAGCCCAGAAATTTTTCTCTCTTTTTTTTCTTACTTCGCAACACCCGCCCCTCCCCTCCTCCTACGCCTACTACTATTACCCTACCATTTTCTTTGACCCAGCTTAGGACGGTGAAACAAAACAAAGATGGACTATACTCTAGGATTAACGTGTTTTCAATTTTGACGTACTGCAATATGAGATTCTATCGGTTTAAGACAGTGGGTAGGCACTGTTACCACTTTTTACTGTGATTTGCATTTATAATATCGTCTGTTAATGAAAAAAAAAAAAAGAAAAAAAAAAAAGAAAAAAAGAGAGAGAGAGAGAGAAAAATAATCTATGAAAAAGATCATTAATTGACATGATATATTCAACATACATATGTAATTCTTATTCGTAGAATTTAAAAAAAAAACTTTGAAGAAAAAAAAATGCATTTACAATTATTGAAAAATAAAGAGACAAAAAAAGAGAGAGAGAGAGAGAGAGAGAGAGAGAGAGAGAGAGAGAAATAATTGTTAAAAGATAATTGTTAAAAAAGATGATTAATATGTACAGATCAATTATACTTACAAAGTATTCATACGTTAATCATTGAAACATTGATCAATTTGTAATCTAAAGATTACATAGCTTTAAAATGATTTCCCCTGTGTGATAATTTAAAAATCAATATTGCACGTTGACGAATTTAAATCGTTTCTACGAAATACATATTTTGCAGCCAATCTCTCTACATAAGTAAACGTATTATATATATATAATGTAATATAATGTAATTATTTGTAATGTAATTATTTATATAACAATATCAATCGAATATGCCATTTAATATGGTATTAGGATTATTCTCTCTTAATTAGTCTCTTAATATATCTATGTATATATATATATATATATATATATATATATATATATCTTGAGAGAGGGAGAGAGAGAGAGAGAGGGAGAAAGAGAGGGAGAGAGAGATAATGGTTAAGATCATTAATTGACGAGATTAATTAAACGTACGTATTGATCAATTTGTATTAATATTTCGTTTACATAAGATCTGCCTTTAATAATGCTTTCGTGCGATTATTCCAAAATCGATATTACACACACACACACACACACAGTAACATTTATATCATTTCTACGAATATTATATAATACGATATAATATAATTTATATAACAAAAATAATTGGACCTTCATCTAATATTACTATTCTCTTCTAATTCTTCATAGATACACACATACATACATAAATATATACATGCATACATACATAAATACGTAAATATATATATATATATATATATATATATATAAAAAGGGAAAGAGAAGTTTAAAAATATTTAGTTATTCATACGAGAACGTCCTTTTCATCCTATTTTTGGAAAACATTCTCAATTCAAGTTCACCGTCCAGAGAAACAAAGCATCAAGGACGACCGTTACGTTGTGTACCATTGTTAAATCTTTTGTTCTCTTTTTGTCTTTCTTTCTTTTTCCCTCTCTTTCTTT